TTCCTCGGGTTTCGTGGACAAGAACACAACGTGTCCAGGAAGATGGAGCACCGTGTCACACTGCTAGAAACACCCAAAAGTGGCGGAAAAAAATGGTATGCAGAAGTTGCCCTGGCCGAGGCAATCTCCTGACATGAACCCCATCGAAAACTTCTGGGCCATACTCGACCGGCAAGTCAAGAAACAACCAAAAAAACCAATTTCGAAGAGCGATCTACTCCAAGTTTTGAAGCAAGAGTGGGCGAAAATCCGACAGTCTAAAATTAACGAGATGATTCTCACGATGCCCCAAAGGATCAATTGTCATATTCACATGAATTGATATATTTATAATTTAATTAATATCTAGTAGATCTTCCTTTCGCTTCGTGGAGTTCTGAAAAATTTCATTTTTTTCTGAAAAGGTGGTGTCTATTTACTTGTGACCGCGCTGTGTATACTAGCGTATAGCCCTTAAAAAATGACGGGACAAGTACTACCACCCCACCCCCACCCTAACCTCACATTTCATAGATAACTGAAATAAATACATTTTGCGAAATCAAGCTTGACCAACAAAGAGGCAGAAAAGTGAAGTCGAGGCAGTGAAACGTCGGTAAGTTCCTTTGTGAACCAATTAGAATTAAGATCATTGATGAAATAAATTCGTGGCGTATTCATAGAATATTTATTGGTAAAAATCAGTTAGATTAACAACTTCTAATATATAGAAAAAGCCAGTGCGTTTTGGTAACACTACGTTCCAACAATGGCTTTTATGTTATGTTACTTAACAACAAAAGTATAACATAATATTGTTGTTATGTTCTGAAAGTGTAAAATAAAATGTATAGACAAAAAAATTGGAAAAATATTTGTTGATTTCTTAATTTAGAGTCTCTTGATTAAAGAAGTTTTTTGTTTTTATTAAAAACGTTGGTGATATAACAAAAAAATAGTTTAATTCAGAAACTATTTAAGTTTAAAATTGAAACGATATTTTTTACTTTCATGATAAATTTTATGCACTTGGCTCTAGGCTAGGTGATCCCACACTACGTATTTAATTTAGGCTTATTATACCAACACTCACTACACTTATAAGGCTCCACGACCCCCTTTGTACCTCCATCACTATGACTCCTATTTCAAGAAATCGTGCGTGATGTAACGTGACACACACTGGTTGTTATATAGATTATATATATATATATATATATACATAATTGTTTGTTTAATATATGTATAATTATCTGTTTACAAATTTATTGACATTCGACATAAGACACTTGAAACAAAATCTCTCGAGTTCAAATGTTTAGCCTCACACGTAAAAACTGAGAAAAGTTATTTGTCATGTGGACTCGAAAGCGCATGCTTTTATTGTTTTTGTCTCCTAGTGTGTCAGCGGTAAGTTGGACTTACCAGGCTAAGCTCCGGGGTTCGATTCCACGCAATAGACAGAGCGCAAAAGGCTTATTGTGAAGCTATGCTCTAAAACAACAACTATTATGTCTTTTTTTTGCTTAAGCACAAAGCTGCACAATGGGCTACCTTCGTTATGACCACTACATGTATCTAACCTTAAATTTTAGCGTTATGAACTTTGATCCGCATCGCTGAACCAATGAGGGCTTCTATTCGTATATGAGGATTTTTTCCTCTCATTATTAATGTACTACATTGAAGTGTAATGAGCTGACGTAGGAAATTTTTTAAGTAAATTGAAAAATGTCATTGTTTCTTTTCACTAAGGGTTACAACATCACATGGAGAATGTAGTTGTTCCTTCCTCACTAACGGCTACATCACACGGAGAATGTAGTTGTTCCTTCCTCACTAACGGTTACGACTTCCCACGGAGAATGTAGTTGTTCCTTCCTCACTAACGGTTACGACATCACATGGAGAATGTAGTTGTTCCTTCCTCACTAACGGTTTACGACTTCACATGGAGAACGTAGTTGTTCCTTCCTCACTAACGGTTACGACTTCCCACGGAGAATGTAGTTGTTTCTTCCTCACTAACGGCTACATCACATGGAGAATGTAGTTGTTCCTTCCTCACTAACGGTTACGACATCACATGGAGAATGTAGTTGTTCCTTCGTCACCAAAGGTTACGACATCACATGGAAAATGTACTTGTTTCTTCCTCACTAACGGTTACGACATCAAATGAAGAACGTCACTGTTTCTTCTTCACTAACGGCTATGACATCACATGGAGAATGTCTTATTTTTAATTTAAATTCTGCTTAATAGTTTAATTTACTCATGATTATAGCTTACAATAATAATGAAAACATGTCGGCTTATTGATCTTTAGCCACGATGACACTCACTTAATCGGAGCTTAGGTTTACAAATAGAACATGAATTACGTATTTATCATAAACTTTGTTTTTATCATTAAATACTTGAACATACCCTGGTTCACCTCCTGCCTCCATGTTATTAGCCAACGTTACGTCATTACTCCACACATCATACTGCCATTTTCTCAAGCCCAATACTCCACAAAGAACTCGACCAGTGTGAATACCAACACGCATGTTCAGCTGGACATCCGTGGTCTCCACCACCGAGCTATTGGGAAATAAAATGAACCGATCACTTTATACATGCGTGTTCTAAGCTACATAGGCATTCAGAGAGGGTCACAAAGATATGAAACATTGAAAGTTATGTTCCGTTCAGAGATGGTCACAAAGATACGGAACATTGAAAGTTATGTTCCGCTCAGAGATGGTCACAAAGATACGGAACATTGAAAGTTATGTTCCGCTCAGAGAGGGTCACAAAGATACGGAACATTGAAAGTTATGTTCCGTTCAGAGATGGTCACAA